GTCTGGTACTGTTTACAATAAAAATGTTAAAAATATTTAATAAACACAGATTTTAAATATTGTATCACATTTTGTGAAATTTACAACAAAACTGCCAAACAGTCTTAAGACAATTCCAGAGTTTTTCCAAAGGGTTAACTTTCACAGCCCCATTTATTTATTGCCTTTTGTTGTACAGAATGATTGACAGACGTCTTGTCCCGCCTCTTTGTTTTCTTCTCATTGGGGCTAATTTTGGTCAGCCCAGAGTCACCCCAAGACCAAAGATTAGCCAGTTAGGGTGGACGTACAATAACGTGCCTAGAGCACAAACATATGTGTGGTTCAGAGTAGACTGAGCCGGTACGATGGTGAGCTAGATTAACATAAACCAGGATTATTCAATTTCTCCCATTTTCCTTCATGTCTGGAGGAAAAACAGGAAGTGGCGAGGTTTGGGTGTAAAGATCAAAGGATAATTAAATCCAGCAAAAGGAAAAGCAACAAAATGGGGAATTGTTGATCTAACATATTTTATTTCAACTTGAAGCCCTTAATGAAGGGGAATTAAGTATTGGACAACTGACAGAGGCTCTGTGTACGCTTGATTTTTGGTGGTTTTCCTTTACAGATGTCTTTGTTCAGAAAAATGACATAATGTCAATTTATAYCCAATATTTCATACTGGAAATTTCTGTTGTTGGAATCTAATCWGCAGCGTTTTATTATTAGCCCCCCACAAATATCACCACCAGCCAACACGGAGTAGCATAACCAWCATTAGAAGCTTAATTCCAAAAGAAGCTTTGTTCCAAATGAAAACTGCGCAAAAACAAAAGTTAATTGAGAACCCCTTAAAAAAATATGTAGTGAATGATGGTCAACCAAAATGTGACTACTTAAGCAGCATCGGTCAAGTCTCCACAGCACCTGTTAGCACCAAAAAGTGCATAAACAATGAGGACATTTGATTTAAGTTATTTCAAGTTTGTATTTAGCTGTTGTGGGTTAAAGAAGATAGATTTGYGCACCATCACAGCTTACATTGCAGCCTAAAAGTAGGGTTAGGGTGAGGGGATAGGAATTTAACCACATCAGTTAATAGTACTTTATGAAAAAGTCTGATACAGTATGTGGTACTTGGAGAGATGTGTAACGCCTGTGGTAGTACTTAGTATAAAATGTGAGAACCACATTTTGTGGTCTGCCTACGTGGCTAGTCAGATATGTTCACCCTGTCAATTTTGTAACAAATGTGTTAATAAATGAGCTTCAGTTGAGCCATCCTATTTGTTCACATTCGTTGCTATTACCATTCCAACTCAAAGTGTAAAACAGTCATTTAGAGRTTATGGAATGAACTGCGTAATATGAAAACTGAATAGAAACTTTGCACCTTCAGAATTATGTTTACTTTTTTCAGTCCCAGCTGCAACGTACTTAATTTTGTAGCAATTTTACCCACTTTTATTGACCATGCTAATAATTATGTATAGCAGAATTCAAGTATTTAGATTGGAACATGGATTTTAACCCTTTTATTGTACTGGAAACGTATTTCTAGCAGAAGCTGCGAGTCATGAGGTCAGAAATGGGTTTTTATGGAGCACAGCTTGGATGTCTGAACTGACAGTTCCTCCATCAGCTGCAGAAAACCACCRCCTGCAACAGGCCACTTAGACAAGGCATGTATCGATTTCTTCTTCCAGTTTTATGAGAGGAAAGCCAGGAGCTTTCAGTCTGTGAGCGCGATGAATCATGGGAGCGGGCTAATGAATGATTTAAAGTTCCTCTAAAGAAAAGATAATTCACTTCATTACTCTGAAGCACGGCGAGAGCTGAACGCCAAGAGATGCACTAATTACCATGAGAGGAGCCTGACAGAGCTACTGTATGGAACATTTGAGTCAATTATCTGTGGYAAACAACCGAATCATATTTCTAGTCAAATAATAAAAAGCAAATTGAGAATCAGCCTTTGATAAATGGTTATAGGGAAAAAATCACATTGAATCTAACAGGATCAAACCTCTTTCATTTAGTGATGCTTTCACACTGTGTTTTTGTTGGCTTTGTATTAGGAACTTCTTTTAAATGAGTGTGTGTGTGTGTGTGTGTGTGTGTGTGTGTGTGTGTGTGTGTGTGTGTGTGTGTGTGT